CATTTAGGTTGATTTATTGTAGATGTCATCATTTAGGTTGATTTATTGTAAATAACATCATTTAGGTTGATTTATTGTAAATGACATCAATTGGGTAATGTATTGTAAGTGGCATCAATTAGGTTAATTTATTGTAAGTGACATCAATTGGGTAGATTTATTGTAGATGACATCAATTAGGTTAATTTATTGTAAGTGACATCAATTAAGTTTTAAATATAAATGGCATCAATGGACGGGACATCAATGGAAGGGACATCAATGGAAGGGACATCAATGGAAGGGACATCAATGGAAGGGACATCAATGGAGGGACATCGGTGGAGGGGGCACACGTATGGATGTGAATTGGAAATATAGGTTGCTTCAATGTGAATGACATCACTTTATATTACTTCAGTATAAATGGCATCAATAAATTACTGTAATATGAATTACATCAAGTAAGCTACTTCAATATAAATGGCATCAATAAAATACTTCAATGTAACTGGCATCAATTAAGTTACTTCAATATAAATGAGATCGATCAAGTTAATTTAATATAAAGCACATCATCCAGACCACACCAATTTAGATCATATCAATTTAAGTTACTTCAATATAAATCACATCATCCAGAGCACACCAGTCAAGATCACTTCAATATGAATCACATCAATTGCAATACTTCAATATAAACCTCAATATAAATCACATCAATTAAATCACATCATCCAGATCACACCAATTAAGACCAATTCAATATGAATCCCATCAATTAAGTTCATTCAATATAATCCCATCAATGAGTTACTTCAATGTAAATGACATCAATAAAGTTACTTCAATGTAAATGACATCAATATAGTTATTTCAATATAGACCACAACATCCAGACCACACCAATTAAGTTACTTCAATATAAATCCCATCAATAAGTCACTTCAATATAAATGACATCAATTAAGTTACTCCAAGAAGAATCACATCAATTAAGTTATTTTAATATAAATCACATCAATGTAAGGAACATCAATGGAAAGGACACCGGTGGAGGAACACCGGTGTGGATGTAGATTGGAACTTGTCAATATAGGTTATCAACATAAATCACAAATTTCTGATCAAGTCAATCGAAGGGCATCAATGTAAAACAATTTATTCTAAGTGGCGTCAGTATATGCTTGTGAATTTAAATTACAGCAATGTGAGGTACATCAATGTAAAGCACATGAATCCAGATCACATCAATTAAAATTCCTTCGATGAAAATCCCATCAATCTATGTTACGTTAATATAAATGACATCCATAAATATTTGACGTTCTATTCTACGACTTTCAATAGCAAAGCACATTTAAGTTGTCAAAACAAGAAGGAAGTGATGTTTGCTTTATAACTTACGTTAAGAAATGGTACGGTCTAATAAGTTATCACTTTGAGTAAATGCTTGTCTACCTGTCAAAACAATTTGAGTACAGAAAAATAATAAACATTCTTATTTCACTGAAAAAGTAGTAATTTATATAATTATTTCACATATTAGACACAATGATATAAGTAGACTACTCTGATTTGAAGAAAATTATCTTGGAGTTATCAAAAAAGTATTAAAATCACATTAATGTAAGGAACATCAATGGACGGGACTTCAATGGAAGGGACATCAATGTTGGGACATCAATGTGAGGGACTTCAATGAAGGAACATCGGTGGAGGGACACCGGTATGGTTGTGAATTTAAACTTGTCAATTTAAGTTACTTCAATATAAATGAGATCAATTGAATTTCTCTAATATAAATGACATTGTCCGGATCACACCAACATAGATTACTTCAATGTAGAGCACATCAATATTAATCGCATCAATGGAAGGGACATCAATGTAAAGCACATCAATCTAAATCCAGTAACATAGTTCACATCAGTCTAAATTACATTGAATTAAATTACCTCAATGCAATGTACAACAATTTGATCATATTAATCTAGGTCACATTGCTTAAAGTGGCTCAACATAAACCACATCATCCAGATCATATCAATGTAAAGAACATTAATGTAGATCACATTAATCTAAATTGCATTAGTGTAAGGGTCATCAATAGAAGGTACTTCAATGGAAAGCAGATAAATCCAGGTGACATCAATTTAAATTACTCCAATAAGAATTAGATCAATTTTAACTACGTCAATATAAATGGCATCAATTTAAGTCGCATCAATGGAAGGATCATCATTGGAAGGTACTCAACCGAAGAAATATCAAGATATGCTTTTTAAAAGTTACTGATTTTACACTAAATGATTGTTCGTACCGTGCAAGTTCTTTACAAGCTCCGGAAACAGGCTTGCTACTACCACTGGTTTATCTTTCACGGAACAAAGATGAATGTCTCATCATTCATACATAAAGTGAATATAGAATTGCAAGAGCAAATCCTAAATCTTTGTGGTATAAATTCATCGGAATCTACAGATTGTTTCTTACTTTTGAAATCAAAGAACAATTCTCTGATTTCTCTCTCTGCCTTCTGATAAAGGCCTATGAAGACTGTTTTAACACTCATTTCGATTACGTCTTAGGATGAACTATATGCTCTTGTGCGTGTTGATTTGTGAAACTCTGACCACAACCTTGCTTCTGTTTGTTTTGTAGGGCAACCTAGAACAGTGATATTTTCCATATATGTGCATTGTTTTGGAGGCAAACATTTTACAAATCCGCAATCTACTTAAAAAAGGTGCATGGCATCAGTTGGCAGGCCCCGGCCCCAGTATCAAGCCATATTGCCATACAGTTGCAACAGATTAATATAGCTGCAACAGTGTAATACAAATCACATCAATCCAGATCAAATCAATGGAAGGGGCGTCAAAATATGATTGTAAATCTAGAAGACATCAATTTGAATTACTTCAATATACATAACTTCAATATAAATAACTTCAATATAGATCACATCAATCCTGATTTTCCATTCCGGCGGGATCGCCATGCCCACCATTTAAGCATGCCGGCTACGCCAGGATACCCACCCTTCAGGAAATGAATGCAAACCACGTCTACAAGATATCATATTTGAATGCGGACAAGATCTGATTGTAGAGCACACACCTATGCGGACTGGTAAATGACTCTTCCTCGAATAGTCATTCATCACCAACGGTCTAAAAGACTCCGAAGAGGGTATTATCATGAAGAATTTATTAATAATAGGTAGTTAGGTGGAAGAAATTTTCAAGTCCAAATAACAGTCTAAACTAGTAGTAATGATAATCTTATTCTATTACTATAGGATAAACGAGAACTAGAATTAAAATTAGTTCACCAGGAAATCAAAAACCAATTACAGATGACAGTTTTGCTGGAGAATACATTATGATATCTTGTTTCAATTTTCAATATACCTGCTGCCCACTCAAGCAATACATAAATAAGGACAAGTGTGATATTATAATGCCATAGTACTCTTTATCCCGTTAGATATTTTTTATTAATCTAAACAACCGAAGTATCATAAACAATACCTAAGTGTATAAAGTGCTAAACTCCTCAATCTTTATCCACACCTGTTTGAACCTAACCTCCAGGTCTAGCTAATTCATCTATTGTAATTACTTTAAATAATAAGGGTTTACTGTAATCAATTCCATAAACGTTGGCTGATTTCACAAAGACCTTTTTTAAAAATTGAAATTATTTAAATTTCAAATTAAACCTGCGGAATAATTACCTTTAAATTTACTCTGAAAACTACTACACATCTTAAGGCTGAATATTGTTCATCATGATGAGCAATGCGAGTTATCCTTGCAGAACATATGGCCAAATATTTTAAATTACATGAATTTCTTCCTTCTTCTTCCTTCTTCTTCCTTCCTGAGGTGTTCCCTTTGTAGATACACATCATAATCAATTCTGACGTTACCAAATGACAACTCCTGGTCACGACACAGCCTCTAACAAGAATAATCCTAAGTTCTGATCAGAGGTGTCTTAAGATCGAGCCCGATTCTCTCCGGTCGCCGGCTCTTCTGATACCACCACTAGTGCACATGCTCTCACCACCCCTAGTAGCTATACGAATCTTTATCCGTATTTAAATACTAGAACAGTCATTGACCAAGGCTCAAAGCAGGCTGATAGTTTCAATGCGCGCTTGGAAGACTTCACAGGCAGCGGGTGCATTTATATAAAAGCTGGTTCACTGCGCATGGGTCGGGGTAATGCGTATAAACCTAAAGCAGTCCATCTGGATCCCGAAAACTGTACTTGCAGGGACGGGCGGATATACGCGGCTGGATCACATGTGTGTTTGTAACCCGGAGGCGTTTATATCAGGCCATGCTGGATCTGCTTTGTGTTGTTGCTTAACTTGGTGGAGAACTTCAATCCTGTGACGACGGGCGATGGGTGACGACATCACTAGCGTACTTGTACGCGTTGATGTTTTAGGTGTTTTTTTGGTAGTTTGCTTTGTTTTTTGGCCGTTCGTTACTTGGTATTTTCAACTAATTGAAATGCTACTTAGTGAGCGGGCATTTCAATTCATCAATTGGCATGCTACTCAATAAGTTTGATTGTTCTTTGGATTGACATGTACCCGATGAGCTTGTTTGTTTGATAAACTGATTTGGATTTGACCTTATCTTTGACGAATTGTCGTGTTATTAGTAACTTTGATTGCTTTTTGATGAATGGTATGTTTTCTGGTGAGTATATATATAATTTTTTTGATGAATTGGCATGTTATTGAGTGTGTTGGTTAGTAAGCATGTTATATCAATGAATTGGCTTGATCTTTACGAACTGCTCGCTCTGTATGTGCTTGCATACCTGTGTGCTTGGGCTCTTCAAGGTTCTCTATTGCCAAAATGCTTGTATTTTTCCGCGTGCGCAATATGTTAGAATGAGTGCCCGGTTTTGCGATGGCATATACTTATTTTGCAGGCCCATGTATGCCATTGAGATGAAAATAATTCAAAAGCTTTTTGGAATTTGGTCTAGGCTTATGATTCACGACAGAAGGGCATGCGGGGACACTGCGTTATTTTTCACCTAGGACTTCTCCTTCAGACAGGGTTTGTTCATTTTAACCGGAGGATAGGTAGCAACAGAGAGTCTAATTTCACAGACTATAAATTAAACACTTGTTCCCAACTCCCTGCACTATAAGCGTCATGCAGCGAGATCAGTCGAAGTGGTTTGTGAAACAGGAATGATACAGACACTTTAGCTTGGGACACGAGATGCTTTCAAAGACAGGAAACCTACCAACAATAAGAGCATTTCAAAAAAAGAAAAACCTGAAATTCACAACAAGTTCGGCACAAACAGGAGTTGAATTTGACTCAAGCCTAGCTTTTGTAGCTATCGCAGAAATTCGGAAAATGAAGCTTTTTTCGAAGGCCGCCTGACTAAAGGATCATACTACAGGAACAAAACTCCAGTAATACGAAAACACATTTCTTGCCGCTGAAATACTTGAGCAATCCTTCAAGAAAAAACCTTGGAAGAACTTTCAAGAACAAAAAAGATTGCAGCACCACAATTTCGCATATGGTCTCCCACTACACTACTCAGTGTGGCCCTATGGAGCTTAACTAACGTTGATCGGACGGGAAACAGTGTGTTCTCCATGGTATGGCCGCAACCGAGAAATTATTATGAAACAGCCTGGAGCTGTCTCTTAAACTACGAGTAGATCGGTTTATAGATAGTTCAGCCTTAGTGGATAGGCCTAGTCTATCTGTCGTATTCTCGATGTCTAAAAAGTGTTATCCTTCTTCAGGGATGTCTCAGCCTCACGCT